AAGATCTGGCTGACCCTCACTGGTTTGTCGTTGTGGTTTTGCCTTCACAAGTGTTTCAAGGGTACTTTGCTGCGCCTTGTGCTTTAACGTTTTGACTTTGTAAGAAACCGACTTATTTCCCCATCCCGGGCAGTTATCAATATGTACTTGATCTATGCCTCTAAAGAAAATTAATTTATTCATATAAAGCCCAATTAACTATTGAGCAAGCGGTGGGTTGGCTGATTAAAAAATCATGCAAACAAACTCGGTACGATAAAAAATATGTACATATGATATACAGCGAAAGATAGTGGAAGAAAATTCCCCAACCGTTGTGGTACGCTTGAAAAATTTTACGGCCTCGGCCAAAGGTCAAACTTTTCACGAGACGAACCAAACTTAGTGAGTTACGTTTATGAAAAGTTCGACATCTGGTTCAGTTAAGTTCGTCTGAATGAGTTTGGATCGTCCAACACGTTCTATCCGTCTGCTTCAGACGGATAGAACGTCTGAAGATCGTCTCCGGGACAAACGTCGATCTTCACATACGACGAACTAAACTGAAAAATTTGTATGATAATGTATATTTAGCCTCGTTCGGTAGAATATTTATCGAAATTGCTTTATGGTCTGATTCAGTTTATTGGTTCGACGGGTCCTAAAAACGACGTCTTACCCCATCCTCGTACCCAGGCCAGTTCGCGGTATCCGAGTTACCAGAGGAGGCTTGGAACCGAGTGCGAATTTTCCCGACAAGCTTGACAGGTGACGTCACATCCGAAATCGCCGAGGACGACTGAGAACGAGGCTGGTCTGACCCAACAGACGATCTTAATTTAGGACGACCCAAATTAGAGTTTGGTTCGTCTCATGAAAAGTTCGACTTTTGGCCTGCCTAGGCCTAACTCCCCACCCCCACCTCTAATGGGTCAAATGATAAGCTCGAGATCCGTGGTTTCGAAAGGAGATGAGTCGGGGCTGGTGGTCTAGTGGTTAGGCTCGGGTAACTACGGCGTGTTACGATCGTGTAGTGGTTTCTGGTTTCACGTCATATAGTGGAAACAAACCACCTATATCCCTACTTGAGCGGATATCTACATAACCCTCTACAGCCTGCCTTGCATCCACACATCTCTCTCTCCATGAAAATTTGCCCTTCGTTTCCAGTAACACGCGTTTCGCGCTCGCCTCTGGGCGAAAAACGAAGCGTCTCAGGAGTAGGCCGCTACACAGCTCAACATAGCCATACCTAACCCTGCTATGTACGGCTAAGTAGGGCTCCGTATGGCCTATATATGTATATGACTGGCTATGTTGGGCTATATATGACTGTGCAGTGGGCAATGTATGACTTTGTAGAGCTACGAAGAGCTAAATACTGGACAATAAATAACGTGGTGAAACCACTATATGATGGTTACACCACGTACCTAACAGCCGCTGTTCGCAAACTTCCCCGAAAAGGACGACCTGACCTAGAGTGCGGCGGAAATCCTACCTCGTCCCCAGGGTCTTCTCATTTTCCAATATTGAAAACGAGAGGAGAGAAGACCCTGGGAACAAGGTTGCCATAAATTATTACTCTGCGGTGTAGCATACACTATAGCGCGCCATCAAGGAAAGCTTTGCCAGTCTGTGAGGCCGCCGCAATTTTCCAAAACGTCAGGCTCTGCAGCCGAGATTTGAGTGGTATAAAGGGATTATTTAAAAGGTAGGTATTGACATGAGGAGAGAATTTTAGCATCTAAATTATCACAGCTTCTATATATTGTGTTACTTTCGTTTGGATGCAGCCATGAACAAATCGATCCGAGAGAATGGATCGATAGCGGTATATAAACAGGTTAGCTCAATATACAAGCCTTTCAAGGTATTCAAGAGACTAGTTTCGGGGAAGATAGGAAACTAACCGGCAAAATCTGGATACAGAGCCTCCAAAACACAAAGCAAGCGCTATTCAGCATCCACTGCAAAGATGTATTGCGCTACGCTTATGATATCATGTAAAGGAACGCGATGCCAAATAGAATGTCTTGATTCTGGTGATGATGAGTTTTTTCCTCCTACAAAACATGAGCGTTTTAGTAAGACTGGGCAGTAATAAAAACATTTGTAAAATCTAACAATGAGAAAAAATGTTAATTGAAAACTGAATAATTACCACAGTTCCCGGAAAACTTCTTTCGCTTTCTAAGAATGTCCTGTGGGTTAGTGCCCTCGTCGAGGAAGACCTGCGGACGACATATCTAAGTAGCTTGTTTGCATCTGTGATTTAGTTTTCTCTTTCTTAGCTTCTACAAATTCCCGATGTTTCATTATTCGTTTGCTATGAACTAAGAGTGGCATATTTTTTTACAAAAGCACATAAGAGGTTATAACAAGATGGAGTATCATTTGAGGCGTTTATAAATCGCAGCGCACCAGTGAGCTGAGTTACGTTATAGCTAAACTTAATCGATACCAAACGTTTCATAGAAATAGAAAGAAAAGAAAAGAGAAAACATGATTCCTCGGAAAGAAACAAATGAGGTGTGAGCTTCTAGGAAAGCAATATTGCCTTTCCGAGAATTTTTTAACTGTAAAATATGCAGTGAAGTTTAAGGGTCATTCAGGTTAATTAAGTCTTGACTAACTCATAACTATATATTTTTTCCGGAACATACACGAGTGAGAGTAACACGTCCTAGAACTAGGCCCAAGACGCAGTTAGAAAGCTGCACTGCATTATACCAACCCTTTGTATCCCACACTTTTTTCTCTTTAAGGTGGCTGAACACAGTTTCTCTTGAAATGCTTTATCCCTTTACTGTGCATATTAACACCTTTATCATGACAAGACATGCAGCCAATAAACTTTTTAAAAAAATGCGAGGACAAGCTTAAGAAAATGCCCAGACGTTCTCAACAGAAACGTATTCTGTTTTCGTCGCCTTTGACATATCATGTGCTTTATCCATCCTGATCGCGTGATCTTCTTGCGCGCTCAACTGTTGAGCATGCGTACATTGGGAACAATGTGAGAGCACTTGTATTGTTGACTTTCACAGGCAATGTCAACTACAGTTATAAATATCTCAAAATCTACTCATCGAAATTTAACGAAATTTGGCAGAACTTCGCTCTTCACTCAATGAAAGCCTCAAAATAAAAGCTTAACAAAGAAGCTCTGTGACACAGTCAGTTTCTCACGAAAGCTTTTTCTTGAAACAATCAAAAACTGTCTGTTACAATTTAGCTAAGTTGTTTTTAAAAAAAGAAAAAGAAGGTACTAATCTTAACCTGTGTGCAAATTCACCGGGATATCTAACAATCTGGATCAGCTTGTATAAGCCTAATCATTGAATTCAAAGTTTTAGCCTGCCTTGTTTGCAATCATGCATGTTGTCATGGCAACAATCAAAATCTTACATTATTATAAATATATAACTGCCGGCGCCATATGATATTTAACTATCCAAAACCTATCAAGTTGTTTTCAGCCACCTTACATCATATTAAATGTGCATTCATTATTGTTCGCCTGCACAGTTTCAGAAGCTGCTGAAGGGTGAAACAGTCGACCATGGACACGTCTCCAAAGTTACCTCAAGTAGGAGATGACGTTCAATTGGGTGAGAAGATGAAAACTGAAAAAGAAGCCATATTGTGTACTCCATTCTGTGAAGATAATTGCGCCTTCCGGGGTAAGCACAATGAGTTGATTCTGTCGCTTGTTAGACTGCACGAAACGGACCGAATAAGCCTGGAAGAATGGAAGGCGTCTGTAATTAGTGGCAAATTAACGTGCGACCTCAACGAGCCCTTGCAAGACCCGAATCCTAATCCTGATTTTTGTTTCTCTTTACTGCACTGGGCAGCTGTGCTTGGAAAGGTTAAGGCCATCGAGTGGCTTTTGACCCAAGATCTGGTTACCTTAAGAAGAGACAATACACAGGTTGAGTCCAATAAAAAAGTCGTATTTTCTATGGTGCGATATCTTCATGAGGGAGTCAAGACCAAGGATCCGAGCAAAATATCAATGACCTTTGGCAAAATACTCGATCTGCTACTAAAACAAGATCCGGGTCTACTCTTAGTTAAGGAGGATGACACAAGCAACACAATCCTACACCTGTGTGCCCAAGGAGAGGAGGATTCAAATGCTCCCTTCCTAAAGTACTTGAGGATGACACTGGTTAAGCTTAACGAAATTTCAGCCAAGAATAAAGCACTGACTTTGCAAACAATTTTAGAGCAAAAGAATGGAGAAGGTGACACATTTATCGAAGTAGCTGCCAAATTTCAAAACCAAAAGGAGGCAGGAGATCTAATCGACTTCGTCAGAGAAAAATTTCCCTTGTCCACAAAAAATGCACAAGATACGTTGAAAAAGAGGACATTTGACGCTATAGAAAACGACGATGACGATGATGTTGATAAGAACGACGTCGAAGCCGACGATGAGCATTTAAATGCTACAGATTTTCGAAACGAGGAACAAGGGTGCTATGCGGTATATAAGCCAGTTCAGACTCCACCAGCAAAAATTCCCAGGATAACCGATGAATCCCAGGATCCCTTGCCAGTTGGAGTGCGTCCGCGTTTGGATGAATCAAACTTGCGACATTTGGATAACGTAAGTCAATCCAACGTCTCTCTGCTTCCAGTTGAGGAACCTATCGGGGGCTTAGCAAGTTCTAATCATGGTGTAAAACTTAGTGGCTTAGAACCGTCAACCACCTCAGACGTTGCTTCCGAAACGGAAAGCAGCACGAATGAAATAACAGAAGCAAAGGCCGTAGTTAAGAATTTGATACAGAAAATGGAACAAAAGTTGTTACAAGAAGGAAACAAATTAAAGGACGCTACATTGGAACGGGCAAAAATGGAATTGGAAATCACGAAGCTGCAAAGACAAAAAATCCAAAAAGACGCTGAAATCAAAGAGATGGAGAAAACAATGAGTGATATTAAAGGACAACTCAATGAATTCAAGACATCTTTAATGGATCTTGCGAAGCCTGATAATGGTAAATAATAAATACAGCATATTTACCATACCATCGGTTTCACAAACCGATTGTGTGGGAGCAATGTGTTTTAGGTTTTCGAAAGATGAGTGGCTCGATGTTATTGCGCGATTTATCAGCAGCGGTAACAATGCAACTATTAGTTTTATTCATTTTTACTATATTTTCCCAAAAAAACTCTTAGCATTACAAACGTAGCCTTTTGTAACGAACCTTCACAGTCCTTGAATGGCTTCCGGTCTAAAAAAAGACACCCTGTTCAAGACGCCAAATGATGTTATCGTATACTCCTTTTAAGACTAAAGACCCTGTTCACTACCCTGTTCAGCGGCATATAGCAAGTTCCTTAGTTCTATTACCTATTTATATCGTTAAACTTAAATATCAAGCCAATATAAGGTCAATAAATATTTCAGCAAAACCAACAACCGACAGCTTTATCTAGATGATGGTCGAGAACTCATCAAAGCCAGCAAATCCGATTTCAGACTGGTTTTAAAGGTTTGTTTACCGTGCTGATAATTATATCATTTAGTCAGTCGACTTTTGTTTGTTCGGCTGAATGAACACATAACCCTGACAAAGTCTTGCTGATGGCTGTGGTTGTCACTAGCAACAGTAGATTACTCTCCTTATATTAGTAGGTTTAACTTTAAGTAGAAGTGAGGTACGTCGCATGAGTTCCCGTTCCCCACCCTACTCATTTGAGCCCCTCACACCCTTTTGTATTACTACATAAGTATATTTTTCTTTACGTATAAATAGTCATCAGTACTTGAATAAATGTTTTTGGCAGTGAAGGTCTATCAGGGGCGGATCCAGGATTTTTTTCAGGAGGGGGTGCCCCCTTCCCTTTGCTATCCTTCAACACCAATAAACCACATAGTTTTTTTTTGGCAGAATACCAGTTGTATTAGAAAACAGCAGGTCATCTCGGGAGGGGGGGCGCACCCCCTGCACCCTCCCCCTAGATCCGCCCGTGTCTATAATGCACATCGATTGAGAGTGGTATTAAGAAGCTTCGCTTTTGATGTAAAGAGCATACAAACATCCCTCTGCTATCAGGGGGGGGGGAGGTAGAATTTTTTCGGGTGGTAGTGAACTAATTGACTGAGAAGCATCTTTCCAATCCAATTAAGATTTTCTTGAGCCAATTCCTCTTATAGAGAAAACTCTTCGTTTCACTCATATTTGTTCTTGTACCAGACAATCCCAGGCTAGGTACATAAGACTGATCTCTAAATCTAATGACCCCGTCCCGCTCGGACAGTCTCACTTTAGAGTGGCCTTTAAAAGAAAACTTGCCAGCTATTTTTGTTGCGCATTTTCAAAGTACAATTTAAAAAATCCGTGGCGGACACCTCTGCGATGGGCAGACCTAAGAAGAGGGAAGTCATTAGTGGGTGGGTGGGTGGTCACCGTGCAAGAGAACACTATTATTAGCGTCATCTTGAACATAGTAGCCAGCTGCCTGCAACGCAAGCTTAAAACTTGAGAAGACAAGAAAGCGAAACTAGAGAGGCGGACATTAGGCCTCTCTAAGCCCCTCCTCTCCCAGACGGTTACTCTAGACACCTGTCCTTACACCAGACTCTTTACTCGTTTAACTCGCAAATAAATTCCATCTCTTGCAGCTAGAGTGACGGCTGAACTTAGAACTAAGGGCACCTGAGTCTCCGGTGATCGAACAAACTTAAACTTCCTCAATATCCTGACCAAGGCAACCTTCATTTCCATCATTACATACTTCATTCCTATACAGTTTCGGGGCCCAGCGCCAAAGGGTAAAAACTGAAACGGATGTCGAGTATCTTTCGCGGGGCCCCGGAATCTTTCGGGGTCGTAAACCTCCGGGTCTGGCCAAGCCTCCGGATCATGGTGGAGCGCGTATATAGGTACGATAACGTCCATACCAGAGGGTATGGTGAGCGTTTCACTAATTTCGCAAGTTTCTTCGCATTTACGATCAAAAATGTGCAGGGGAGGACATAACCGCATAGATTCGTTTATGACACAATCAAGATACTCGATTTCGTTTACCAGGTCGTACAAAGCGAGGTCGCGGTATGTTTGGACACCAATTTCAACCTCGCATCGTAGTCTTTCCTGCACGTCAGCGTCCATCGCAAGGTGATATGCAGTAAAGGCTAACGTGTTACTAGAGGTCTGGTAACCAGCCAAGAGCCACGTGATCAACTGAGCTTTGACCTCATCATCGGAAAATCTGCTGACACCTTGAACTGCGGGCTCATCGTGAGCCGCAAGTATCAGCTGAAGTAGGTCGTTTCTTCCCTTCGTGGGAGAGTTTTTGCGTTTTTCAACAATCTCTGAAGCTGCGGCTACAAAGAAAGTCATTTCTTGTCGGAAGAACGATATCACTGAGCGAATAAAATAGTTAAAAGGAAACATCCGGAGATAGGGAACAAGCCACAGTGCACTAAAAACCCGCGCGGCTCTTTTTTTAATTGGATTATGTGGATCTGTTTGAATGTCAGTTTTGATACCAAAC